AATAAAGTATTTGTGCACAGATGATGATGACATTTATGTTACTGGAATTTTCAACAACCAATCAAATCATGATCTACAGCTGCCCGTGATGAGATATTCCTAGCATTGTACCTCGGCATTAGTGGATTGGCGAATAGTAAGTGAAACATCGCGTACGATCTCAGCTTACAGAAAGTGGAGAGATATAAATAAATGTCCCAACCTCTTGAATGATCTTACCTATGTGACACATTACTGCTGCCACTCTCCCCTTCGTGGCTGAACATGTTTTTAAGTCCTTTACTTATATCGAGCGGTACTCTCATGAACACCATTCTATTTGCATAGTGTATGGCTTGACTATAAACCGTGCTTTCTTCATTACTTATCATCTCAAGCTTTTTACTCTTGGGTTGATTAGGCCACTGCCTGATCTGCTCGGCTGCGATCTCCAATGCCGACTTTTCCAGTGAAACATAACCCTCTGTTGTTTTCCGCGACGACTCCGGACTTGCAGTAAATGCTTCGTCTAAATCCTAATAATGTATAAGCAGTAGACACAATGTTTGAATTGCATTCACATTTCATACCATGAATTGGGTCTGTGGAATATAGTTGTACAGAAAGTATCTTTCCAACAGCACTGGAATTTATTGTCAATGCAACAAAACCTTGTTTTAGTAATGATCAATTCACTATCAGAATCTTATTTAATATATACAAATATTCTGAAAACAATATCATATGATGAACAGACTAATTTTCACATACCAAGTTTTCTTTATGTTCATCGTGAGGTACATACAGGGACCGAATGTCTTTCTGTACATCAGAGTAGAATGTGGCCTGCCAGAACTGCATACTGGCCCAGACAGGATGGTCTTGCACACATGTGTAGGCAAACTGTATTACTCCAGTACATAATTTCTGTAAAGTAAAAAACAGAAAGTTTTAGTAACCAATGGCACTATAATAAACATACCAATGTGCACCTGTAGTCCATTATGACTTGTCTGTGTACCAACTTCGAACAAAACTAGTCTAGGCCCCAGGAATGATGTCAGATGCATACACGCAGACAGACAGACAGACATGGACAGACGGAATCCAAAACACAAGTCCTTGGGAGATTTAAAAAAAAACAGTCTCAAAAAATATGTACACACATTTATCAGCTTGAGCGAAGCAGTCGTCTCGTAGAGAGACAATATTTCATTTGCATAATGTGATGAACGTTAACTTACTCGGCAAAATGATCCTGTGAGCGGCAGCAAGGCAGTAGAAACGGAGTGTTCTTCAGTACATGCGTCCTCCTACAAGAATATGGAAATACAAAAATGGAATTTATAGCAGTATGAAATTTAAAATTACTTTTAGAGAACAGTTTTCAAGGACATGGCCTTTGTTCTTACTCACCTGTAAAGCGCAATTCATGAGTCTTACGATCAGGTCGAACTGTTGACTCTCAAGCATGGCTCGGTTCTGTGACGCATGTAAGGTCAACTCTTTGGTCAGAGCATTGCGTACAACTCGACTCTTGAGAGACCTCAGAACCGCCGGGAATGTCTGTGAATTAAAAAAATACAGAGCAAATAACTGCTTATTAATATTACATGGGAAGTTTAATCTATGTTGTTTTGTTTTTGCTAATTAGTGTGAAACATTGAACTATGAAACATATCCCAATAACATTGCGAATATAATCGATAAAGCCTACAAGATCATCTATTTGAGCAACTCAAAAAAAGCAGCAGTTGTCACGGCTGTGTGTGTTCAAAGATTGAGTAAATAAATGAATTTGACTTGTACATACTATGTGTAGTATGGGACCCATATCAAACACACAGGGTTGTCATGACCACCATACTGTAATATTTTCAATGAAATTGCACTTACCTTTCTTGCATCAAGTATTTTATTTTCAAATATATTTGTAACACACGTCCTCAGGACTTCCAGTCTCCGTGCGTTGTTATTGATTATGTTCATCTTAGCTGTAAGGTTTCCAGGCGAGGGCCCATGTGGTACAAATTGTGGTTTTGGTTGTCGCATATTCTGCAGCTGGGCTTTTAAATTCTGGTTGAGTAGAGAAAATAAAGTTCACTTCACAGATTTTTGAAATAAATACCAATGTATGCATATATGA